CTCAGTATGTACCTTGAGAATTGTACCCTGACCCCACTCTGTTGGGACAGCCTGTACAGGGCTGTCTTAATGCATGGGCACCTCTGGGCACTGCCCAGGGGCCCCAGGTGCATGGGGGGCCTCATGAAAATCTTGTCTTACATCACATTTGCCAACTGTCCCAGATTTGCCAGGACAGTCGCACCTTTTTATTAAGTACTGTCCCTCCTGATCCCAGTACTGTGCCCTCCTGACTCCCCCTGTACTGTGCCTGTCTGCCTCCCCCCACCCCCCATACTGTGCCTTTTGTGTTTGATTAGTCTTTGATTTATGGTATGTTTTCTTATTGTTTAAAATCAATTTTTTTGAAAGTACAAATAAATATACATTTAATTCTATGAACGGTTTATACTTTCTTTAGAGTAGGTGCGTAAATTGGAGCAGGCTGGTAGGGACCCCAGTGCCTTACTTTGCCCAGGGGCCCATGATATTAAGACGGCCCTGAGCATGTAATGTTAATTTTAGGTACTGAATCCTGTGTTAGGTGCTTGAATTGGCACGTGGTGCGACATGTGTAGTTCGGTGTAGGGTGCTATACAGGTCCAAGACCGTGGTCCATCTCTATGGTTCCCAGACCCTGAAGATTCCTTCAGGAATATGCCCACCATGATGGGTGAAGCTGGACTTCTTACAGACCCAGTGTTGGTAATAAGACAGGGTCTACCTGGAGGTTTACATCAGCTTGTGGCTCTTATTAACAGCGCATAGCACACTATGCAGTTTACTGCAGAGGATTGGGGAGTTACCCATTGTGCCATCCCCTGCCATTTTGTCTGTAACGAGTCTTGGGATGAGTACTTTTACATTTTGATGTTTTTTCTCCTCCTATCTAGGCTTAGCCTCGGAAGGAGGTTACTGCTTTACGCATCCTTATTGGCATGTTCACACCTGCTTTTTCCGCCAAAAAAAACACACACACAGCATGTTGCTGCATTCCTGCTTCCATCTTCTACAAAGACACTGAATAATGACCAGCACCTGGGTTATAGTGGCTCCATCTTTGTAGACATGCAAAACCCCATTAGGTCTTCACTCCATAACCATGAGTACTCCGTTGGGGATCCCTTCACTTATTTATTTATTACAGGTACTTCTATAGTGCCGTCAATTTACGCAGCACTTTACATATATATTGTACATTCACATCAGTCCCTAACCCTCAAGGGGTGTACAATCTAAAGCCGGGGCGTACAATCTAAAGCAGGGGCATACAACCTAAATCCAACACAACAAACACTTTACTTCTGCGCTAGGAAAGGACTCCGTAGACCCAATAGGAATGTTCTGGGATTTTCTGGAATATGCACTGCTTGCTGCCCTCAAAAGACCGGGGTGGTCCAAATACACTGGATACAAATGGAGAAACAGAAAAATGGCGCACCGACCTAGTGCATTATCATTTAAAATAATTTAATTGACACAACCTCTTCCTCAGAGCCTCTGAGAAAGAGGTTGTGTCCTCGAAACGCGTTAGCCAGTTGGTCATCCAGGGTTCCATCGTATGGACTCAGATGTTGTTTGGATCATACATCTTGTTCAGTTTGACATGCCTGTGTTATTATGTCCATTGTGAGTATGATACCTATTTTGTTTCTTCAATTAAATTATTTTAAACGATAATGCACTAGGTCGGTGCGTACAATCTAAAGCAGGGGCGTACAATCTAAAGCAGGGGCGTACAATCTAAAGCAGGGGCGTACAATCCTTTGATGGCAGATCAAAGGCACAAGGGAGCTGGTACAAAAGGGCTAAATAGCATGTGTTTTGCAGACGGCCTACAGGAAACTCAGAACGCCGCTTACAGCGATAGCTGTTTACCATAGTCCTACTATGACTCTGCTTCCCTCATCTGACTCCAGCTCCCTCTCAGGTATGTACCATGTGACCTGTTTGGATAAAGCAGATCTCTGTGCCACTATGTCCAGAAATCTTTGCAACATTTTTGGCACTTCTAGAACCTTCAAGGCTGCACATCTCTATTCCCCCTGAACCACTTCAGGACTCAGAGGTGGAACCTTCCTTTTTTTGATAAATGTTACTAGATGCATGCTGTATGGATCCTGCCTCTCTATCCCCCAATGTGCCTTCGGATGTGCCATAGGGCTTCTCTGAACCTCATTTATGATGAGTAGGACTTTTTGGCCTTGCATACAGGGAACATTTTGGGGTGCTTACATATTTTTTTTTACTCATTTTTCCCCTAGGATGTTAATCTACTTGGCTCCAACTGTGACACTCACATATGGCCGGCAGGAGAGCTGCACCAAATGTAAAAGTTAATGCTCAAGTAGCCTTTTACACAGCTGCACGAGCCTTGGGCCTTACTGCTCCTGTGCAAGTCCTCCCTATAGTGGCCAAACTGCGCATGCACGTGCCTTTTTTCTTTTTCTTTTTTGATACAGACGCAGAACTTGCTAACTTCCCTCTATCTCCTCTACACCCACATCAGCTCTATGGCCCTTTTTGTGTTACCTGTGCTCCTTGCTGCCTTACAGTGCTTTGTTTACAGATGGCATTAACCCTTCCTGCCCTGGCAGTTTTTTTTTTTTTTTTTTTAACTACCTTTGATGGCAATCCCACGCTCTGTACCTGGTATGGTGGGTCATAAGCACAAGGGCAGCTGTCTATTATTGCCTGGCCAGCTTGTGATCTGCTAACAGTTCTGTGAGGTTTTGCAGTGTTCCATTGAAAGGACTTGAGACATATCGCCTGTCCCCTGCTTGAGTCAGAGCACTCCTCTGAGTCTTCTTTCACCCGTTCAGTGGTTACTACTTCCTTGATTTTATCTATGTCTGATTATGGGAAAAATGGCAGCCATGCTAGCTGGCTCAGAACACAGGGGCTTCAAGCATGCTTCCATGCCCTCTCCTCTAATGTCCGCCTCTGAATTTTTAGGGGCTGCAGTTGTTTCTGCATAGTCAGCTAAGGATGAGGAGGATTGTACCTTTTTATCTTTATTTTCGGAGTTGGTACAAGAGGTACCTCAGTCTATAGACATAACTTCAAAACTTAAGAATACTATCTTGATCCTCATTGATGCAGTCTGTTCATTTCTAGACCTAAAAGCTAGAATCTTGGTCTCTGCCTCCACCGTACTTTAATGTTTAACGGGGGAACGCTGCCCACAGAAGGTTAGAACTACTTTAACAAACCTCCATGTTGCTTTTGCACAGGTCCTTTGGCAAGTGGTCATAGCCATTGTCCCAGAAAGGAAAAGGTTTCAGGATTTCTTTTCAAACCTTTTTACTGTTTCCAAGGCCAAAGAGGGCATTTTTCATACAATGTGATTATTTCCACTAAAAGTTATTATGTTTGTTGTTATTTTGACGTCTAAATAATAAGAGTATGGTAGTTTCTTTTTTGCCAGGGGAAATTCACTCTTCGGCCACTTTATTTATTTATTTACCTTGCTAGTACCGGGTTGGACCCCTTTTGCCTTCAGAACTCCTTCATTCTTTCTGGCATAGATTCGACAAGGTGTTGGAAACATTCCTCAGAGGTTTTGGTCCACATTGACATGAGATACTGTTGCCTCTCTATCATCTCAAACCAGTCTGCCCATTCTCCTCTAATATCAACAATGCATTTTCATCCACACAACTGCTGCTCACTGGATATTTTCTCTTTTTCGGACCATTCTCTGTAAACCCAAGAGATGGTCGTGCAAGAAAATCCCAGTAGATCAGCAGGTTTTGAAATAGTCCAGCCTGTCTGGTACCAACAACCATGGTATGTTCAAAGTCACTTAAATCCCCTTTCTTCCCCATTCTGATGCTCAGTTTGAACTTCAGCAAGTCGTCTTCACCCCTTCTAGATGCCTAAATGCATTGAGTTGCTGCCATGTGATTGGCTGATTAGCAGTTTGTGTTAACAGGTGTACCTAATAAAGTGGCCGGTGAGTGTATTCTGGGAATATCAAGCAGGCTTTCATTTCTTGTCTTTATGTCTGTCCTTATGACTCGGAAGAACATTAACATTAAACCATGTACAGAGAAGTTTAAACACGAGGGGCGTTCCAAGTCAAACCGGGATTTTAATTTTACTGGTATAAAAAGGGATGTTATCGTGGCGGTACTACAATCAGTAGTAAGTGGCAAGTGTGTCCTATTATTGATAGGTGGCACACATGGCGTGGCCCAGTCCAGAGACCGTTAATTAAGATGGCAGACAGCAGTGTTAGTGCGTGCGTGGAACAGTGTGTGGTGATGATGTTTCTTGTGAAAGAGGGCTTAAAACCTGCAGTTTTCTATTGATGACTTCAAGCACAGTACAGTGATTAGACACTCGGCCGCAGTAAGATATTTGAAAGATGTAAACGTTTCAAAGATGGTCGTACATCCATCAGTGATGATCCAGGCCATGGTGGTTCCCAGCCCACAGCAGTTATTCTTCTGAACACTCATCTTGTGGAATGCCGGATCCTGGATAATCAACACTTAACCTGTCATGAAATTGCACAAGAGACAAATCTTTCTTTGGTCATCATTTCAGCACTGATGACGAAGTGAAGCAGGCTGTCCTAGGATGGTTCAGGCATTCTGACAAATATTTCTATGCCCGAACATTCCAGGCATAAGTTAAATGCTGGGATAAGTATATAAATGTAGCAGGGGAGTATGTTGAAAAATAAATGCAGTTTCCACAATTGGTTCTTTTATTATATAAGCTCAAAAGTCCTGGTTTGACTTGAGATCCCCTCATAAATACTAGGGAGTTCCCAAACTTTTTCCCACAAACATAATTGTCATTGCCAGAATTGTCACCCGTGCACATAAAACATAGGCATATTTTTGAGACTTACTCAAGGTTAAAGTGTTTTGTGGTTAGATAATTTGTGATATCTTAGTTTTATCTTCTGTCCAGGGTTAGCTTTATTGCTGATGATGAATGTGAAACAATAATGAGAATGCTTGTGTTAATCTTGGTATTATTCTTTTATTTATCTTCAATTTTGATTTCAGGATCCATCTCAGCCACCCAATTACAACCAGCAAAGACCCTACCCTGGCTACCCCTCCAATATCTCTCAACCAGGGCCAGCACTGGAACCCAAGCCTAACCCACCTGCTCCAACAGCCCCACCTAACCCTCATTACAGCGCCTCTCCTCAAATGTACAACCGGAAGGATCCTTCAAACCAAGAAACCATTCCTAGAGCCAAAGAAGCCAATGCTTCTCCAGCTGATCCTGCAAACGCCCTTCCTGGCATTGTGAAGATCAGTGAAATCTTGGAAAAGGTGGCGGAACTGGAGCAGGAGGTGGACGAGTTTGTAGGTAGAAAGACTGAGATGAGTTTCCGATGTTTAGAAGAGCTATTGACAAAGCAGTTATTAGAACTAGATTCTGTAGAAACTGGTGGTCACGACAGTGTTCGTCAAGCACGGAAAGAAGCTGTGAGGAAGCTACAATCGATTCTGGAGAGGCTAGAGCGGAAGGGTTTGTAATCTCATGCAGCAGAAGTAGAGGATTCTTCATTATAAAGGTTTTTTTTTTGATTCCAATAGGTTTCTGGCCAGCCAACATACAAAATGGCATGGTCTTTGGGTACCTAACATGCCAAAAATACGATGAAGGGGTAAACCACCTTATTAAAAAATAGGACATCCTTTCCCCAAAATTTTGGATGCTCCGCTGGAATAATTGGACTTTCAGCACTGATGGACCATCACTAAGTCACCTTGGAGAATATTTACAATGGAAAATCGTTGTAGTTGTAGATGTTTTCATGAAGAACTAAATAATTTAAGAAAAACGCTGTGTTTTTCTGGAAACAATTTTTTTTTAGGTAGAATAAAGCCATTTTGGAATTCACAGGTTTTTATTACTTAAAGCCATTTGAAGATAAACTTTTGCCACTGACTGCAGTCATTACCAAAATCACAAGACTTTATTTGCCATTAATAACCGTTCTACGACTGTGGCTACCTAGCATGATGAGTATTTGTGTTCTCTGCATATTTTTGGATGTTTTTTACATCCATACTTTAGAGTCACATGTAAGTGATTTAATGTCTCATTTTATTTGGGGGACTGTACAATGAAAAGGCCAGTGTGGGTAACTCCCAATTAAGGACTGTCACCAAAAACCAAATAAAAAATTAGATTTGGGTGGAATTAGGTGGATCTAGTGATTGGCCTGGTGCCCTTTATTGACAAGATATTTCTCTCTTCTACTCTGCGTGAAACTTTTTTCAAATAACGTTCCAGTCCGAGGAACTTCACATTCAAATGCCAGTGCTCCTGTAGAGTTTGCCAGTCATGCACCTATCAGATGCACACAATCATTTGAGATTTCCTGTCTCGTAATTTTCAGATTCGCCTTTTGAACCCTCGATGCTGTCCAATTAAAATCATAATTTTTGCTGAATACGTTTTCCATCCATATATTTTATCCTTTGTCTCGTGATTTTCCTGTTGCCTTTGTCACTGTTTTTGAAACATGAAAAAGTCTTCCTGCAAAGCAAACTGTTAATACTTAGCTGTCCTGCTGCCAATGCTGCCGAACTCTGCTTGGCTTACGAGAGAAGCTTGCTCAAACCTGCATTCAGCACTTCTGAGAGTGTTGAATGCTATTGTCCCCAGCTGAGCCCTCTGGTTTCCTCCACTAGACCCAATATCCCCCAGATCAAGGGTCTCCAAACTTTTCAAAGGGCCAGTTTATTGTTCACCAGCCTTTAGGGGGGCCAGATTGTGGCCAGTGGGAATAGAAAATGTTCTAGGCCCAGCATCAGCTAGAATAAACCTAGCCTCAGGTTTGGTGGTCAGGATTAGTATCACATCCTTTGTATTAGTTGGAGAAATAGTACCCCATTGTTGGTGTCAGTGGGAGGAATAGTGCCCCATCATTGATATTCGTTGGAGGAATAGTGCCCCATCATTGATATTCATGGGAGGAATAGTGCCCCATCATTGATATTCGTGGGAGGAATAGTGCCCCATCATTGATATTCGTGGGAGGAATAGTGCCCCATCATTGATATTCGTGGGAGGAATAGTGCCCCATCATTGGTGTCAGTGGGAGGAATAGCGCCCCATCATTGATATTTGTGGGAGGAATAGTGCCCCATCATTGATATTCATGGGAGGAATAGTGCCCCATCATTGGTATTAGTGGGAGGAATAGTGCCCCATCATTGATATTCATGGGAGGAATAGTGCCCCATCATTGGTATTAGTGGGAGGAATAGTGCCCCATCATTGATATTTGTGGGAGGAATAGTGCCCCATCATTGATATTTGTGGGAGGAATAGTGCCCCATCATTGATATTTGTGGGAGGAATAGTGCCCCATCATTGGTATTAGTGGGAGGAATAGTGCCCCATCGTTGATATTCGTGGGAAGAATAGTGCCCCATCGTTAGTGTCAGTGGGAGGAATTATGTCCCATCATTAGTGTCAGTGGGAGGGATTATGTCCCATCATTCGTGTCAGTGGGAGGAATTATGTCCCATCATTCGTGTCAGTGGGAGGAATTATGTCCCATCATTCGTGTCAGTGGGAGGAATTATGTCCCATCATTCGTGTCAGTGGGAGGAATTATGTCCCATCATTCGTGTCAGTGGGAGGAATTATGTCCCATCATTCGTGTCAGTGGGAGGAATTATGTCCCATCATTCGTGTCAGTGGGAGGAATTATGTCCCATCATTCGTGTCAGTGGGAGGAATTATGTCCCATCATTCGTGTCAGTGGGAGGAATTATGTCCCATCATTAGTGTCAGTGGGAGGAATTATGTCCCATCATTAGTGTCATGGGGAATAGTGCCCCAAGGGCTGGATTAAGGCTAGCAAGCTCGGGCTGTAGTTTGGAGACCATTGCCCTAGATCACTATTAGATACATTGTTTTTGAAGCAGCCATAATGCTCAGCGGAGGACCAGACCTCCAACTGATGCTAAATATCTTTCGGCAAGACTACCTCTTCAACTCTGTGGAGTTTGGTGGCATGGGCAGCAGGGCCGGTATTAACTGGTTGCTTTGCAGGGAAACGTTTATTTAGTGCATATTTTAAAAATAGCTTAAGTTGCTATAGGAATCCCATTTATTATTACAATTTTCCTGTTCAAATGCCAAAAAACTCAGTTGCCTTTCATTTTTGTGTCAGAACCCTGTGCATTGTGGGCATCCCAATAGTATCATAAAATTTGTATTCAAAACTGTAGATCTGGTCAAATTTAATATTTTAAAGGGGAGGGTGGGAGGGGTCACTGGGCAAAATGTGTGTTGCTTTTGGTTGCTTAATAGTATTATTCAGGGCTTGCTTTCTCCAGCATTTACCAGATTTACATCTGATTGAATCTACAATATATAAAATATCACCTGCTGGTAAGATCTGGCATTGCAGCGTGACCATTAAAAAAAAATGTTAACTCTATGTGATGATCTCGGCATGCATTATGCAAAAGACGACTAGTACTTATAAACAGACATCCAAACCTTTTGTCTAATTTTTGTGCAGGAAATCTTTTCAATTTCTCCACAGTTTCCATTGTTTAATATTGTTTCTGTTGGAAGACCTAATTCTACCCAAAGCCAAATCTTGATTTTTTTTGTTTTTGGGATAAATCAGTCTTTGTCGTAGTCTCGGGGAAAAATGCAGACAATCGTAATTATTGATACAGAAGGGTTCTGATTATCTTACCAGGATGATAATAATAATAAAAAAAACCTTATCTCAGGAAAAATGACTGTGTCCAGTTAAAGGATTTGTGAATAGGAAAAAAAAAAATCATTATTTACAAAACTGAAGATAATTTTCTTGAAATACCCTTTATGAAGAGGATGAATGTTCCGTAAATCACCATAGCAACAGCAAGGACCTGAAACTCAAACAAATGCAGCTGTCTTGGGAATAACAGGTTTTGTATTTGCACTGAGAGGAATACTGTGTAACTGAATATATATATATATATATATATATATATATATATATATATAAAATAAAAAATATAAAACTCGTTTCATAAATAAAGCCATACAGAGATGACTTGTATTTCTTGTATTCAATTTTCAAGAATTGTCTGTCTTAGCATTCTGCTGTTTGCTATAACACCTTCATCTGCAGCTACTTAAGAACGTGTTTAATTTTCAAATTGTTAATGGGGTCAAATCGACATTCATTTATTCAACCTCAGTGACGGGAACATCCGAAGAGGTGGGATGGAAAATTTTTCTTGGCAATGAATTTCTAACAGTGAATGTGGTTTTTCTTTGGGGAAAGTCCATTCACTCCAAACTCGAATGTCAAGACCTGGTTCACACTGGTGCAACTGCGATTTCATCCGATTTACAATGTATTATGTAGTGCAACTGCAGTGTGGCTTGGAGCTTTTTTTTTTTTTTCTTTACACGTTTTTGCTGCAATTTTCATAGTGGTGCAATTTTTTAAGGAGAAAAATGAGAATAGTTTGGGGGAAAACCGCACTGGATTTGCATGAAGATTGCATGTACATGCGATTTTGATCTGTTTCCATTGAAGTCTGTGTGGCAAACCATCACACCAAGGTAGCACAGGTATCTTCCCAAAAAGCCACATCGCAGCTGTGTTGCATTGATGTGAACAGGCACCATTGTAATGCGATTTTCTGCAACTCAAGTTGCATCTGAACTTGCACCAGTGTGAACCAGGCCTAAAAGCAAACTTTTTTTTTTTTTATATTTTTTTTTTTTTTACAGTACTTTTGAACATTTGTGATGTCATGGAATGTACTGATGAGCATTGTTTGTACAAACGTCTACAAGTGTATGACCAGCTTTAGTGAATTGACTACTCCAAGTAGAAGGGATCAATCTTTAGAAACCACTAACATAAAAGCATAACAAGGAGATTTTGGTGTTACATTTAAATTAGATTGAAAAACACTAAGAAAATAGTGGACTGTAAAGGAATGTGCATTCACATCTCTGCATAGATGCTGTTTAGATCAAAGTGATAAATGACCATATTGTGCTTTGAGTTGTACTAACAAGGAAACATTCACATCTGCCGGCTTGGTCCTAAGGCCCAATGTACACGGGACACTTCTGAACGATGGAAACTGACTGCTGGAAAACGTAGGTTAAAAAAACATCTGTTTAGCTGTGTTCGCATAATGTGTTTATGCACGTTTGTGTGTTTGCGTTTAGAAGCGTTTTTTAAAGATAAGCACATGAGAAACTCCCAAATGCCCAGAATTCACTGAAAAGTGGTAAATTAAATTTATTTCAGACTAATACAGAGATTAGAAGCAGAGAGAGCAGTATGTGTTGAGATATTTATTTATTTCAGGTACTTATATATCAATATACGCACCACTTTACATATATATTATACATTCACATCAGTCCCTAACTCTCAAGGAGCGTGAAATCTAAAGTCCCTAACTCACATTCATACATATACATGCTAGGGCCAATTGAGACAGGAGCCAATTAACCTACCAGCATGTCTTTGGAGTGTACGAGGAAA